GCGTGCTGGCTTGTGGGGGCTCTGCGGGAGCCCCCCTCCCCGGGCTTCCTCACCACTACAGTCTCTGCACCTGGCACACAGCCAGGCCCAGAAGGCAAGGCTCCCTCGGCTAGACTGTCCTGTTCCAGCGGGGCTTGGTGAGGCCTCCCCAAGGAGGCAACTTGGAGCGAGGCCCCCAAGGATGAATTTAGCAGGCCCACAGGCGATGAGAAGGGAGGCTCAGGCGCAGGGACAGAAGGCACAAGACACAGACGCTGGGCAGTCGGTGCCCATGGGCGGGTGACATGTGTGGCCAGAAACACAGCAGGGGCCTCCAATGCCCATTCAGGGAGTTGAACTTGATTTGGGGGGCCCATCCCTAGTTGCACATCAACCTGTCTGGGCTTGGGTTTATCAATGTGGCAAATGGAGCTAAGGGCTGAGACAGGATTCAGCAAAGCGGTCATGGACACCGCTCATGCTTAGCCAGGTGATCGGCAGCCTGGGAGGAGTTAGGAAGGGGAATGTCCAGACCTACCGTAGGTCCAGGCTGGGGAGGGAAAGTACGGGTTTCCTGTGCCAGGCTGGTGAAAGGAGGGGAGTGCAGACAGCGACTTGGCCCTGGGACCCTGAGGGCATTTAGGCACCAGAGCCTTGCAAGCACCCAGGTCTGGGCAGTGCACCCAGCTCTCCACCACGCACCCAGCCCCAGGACCACGCAGCCGCCTGGGCTGCTGGGCCTTAATTGAATTGGCCCAGCAGCTGTCGGAGCTAAGCGGGCCCACTTGACGCAGCCGCGGTTGGCCAGTAATTGGTGAAATTAGCAGGTCGGCAGGGGCACAGGTCAGGTGGTTAATGCTGTAGTTGGGGCTTTGATGAAGTTAGTCCCATTGCAGGGCTGGGAGCTAGGGTGCAACCTTCTGTGGGTCATGGGGGCTCTCCTGTTCCTCCAGTAACATGGTTAGGAGACCTCCAGCTGCTGGCCTGTCCCAGGGGCTCCTGGAGGCGGGACTCTGGAAACCAGAGGCTAGGCTGAGCCTGGAGGTGCGGCCAACAGCCAGGTCACTGACTGTGTCCCCTTGGCCAGGGCACTTGCAGCACCTGAGAGGCTTTGCAACCCCTAGAGATCTTGGGGTGATGCCTCTTGACTTCCTAGAAAAAGCCTTCAATAGGTTCCCCTTGGGGAAAAGCACCCAGGCCACTTCTAGGCTTCCAGCCCTGCCTCCCTGCCACCACTATGGGTGTCCTTCCGCCTAGCTGTCCATCTGGAAATGGGGATGAATTCCTCCCAGGTCTATTTTTTACCAGGTCCCGCCCTCCCCTCGAGGTTTCTGGCCTCGCAGCAGCTTCTCCTCTCGTGATCTCCACAGGCTATCCCCTGAGCACACCCCTTGGTTCTTGCTATTCCCTGGAACAGTGTGCTCCCACCTTCTTCCATTTCCCATCAGTTACTGGATGGATACCTACAACTTGCCAGACTGGGAGTTGAGATGCATAGATGAGCAAAATCTGCTCAGGTCCCCCAGCCCGATCGGCACTCACAGCACCTTTCCTGGCCACACTCACAATCTCCTCTTCCCAGCCTGGGAACCAGACACCCTGTCACTAACTAGCCTTGAACCCTGGCACCTGGAATCACCTCCATTTCTGGCTCCACTCCAGCCCCCCAAGGAACAAGGAGTTGCCAGCTTGCCAGTCCTTCAGGGATGCACACATTTGCACACGCAGGCACACACACATGTACATGCACACGCATACACACACAGGCACACTGACCTTGGTTGCTGTACTTATTATGGTTATTATGGTTATCGTTACTGTTATTATCATTTGAAAGGTAAATCCTTTGGAGTCAAAACACCTGGGATGAAATTCTGGCTCAGCCACCTGCCAGCTACGTGACTCTTCTCTCTGAGCCTCAGTTTCCTCTTATGTGACATGGAGCAGCAACCAATCTGGGACAGTGTGGGCATTAAATGGCACTGTGTCTATCTGTCTTCACCTGTTCCTCATTAGGGCGGGGTCTTTGAGTTTACTGTTCCCCTGCCCAGAAATGCTTTCCCCCCAGATAACTACATGGTCCATGATTTCACTTTCATTCCCATTTCCTCCTCAGGAGGCCTCCCAGAAGCACCCAACAAAACACTCCTGTGCCCACACCCTTGACTCCATCCTTCATCTACGAGTTACCTGCCTGTGTTTCCTCTCTAGCATTCATTACGACTCAGGACAAGGTTCTAAATACCTGCTCGTTTTCTGTCTCCCCAGTAGAACATCTGTCCCATCAGGCAGGGATCTGTTTCGCCCATTGCTATATCCCCAGCACCTAGAACTGTGCCTGGCGTATAGTAAGTGCTCAATACATATTTCTTGATTTGCACTGAAGTAAAAGGGCATGACCCATCCGTAATTTGGGACTGTTTCAAAATAGAAGTATGCGTAAACAGTATTTTTAAAAAGACTGGCACTCTGTGGGCCCACAGGTAATCAGGACTCAGCTCTGTCACCCCTCCCGTGATTGGAAGCTCACTCCCCTTAGGTGAGTTGGCCTTGCTCTGACTTAGAGAAAGCCCCAGTTCCATAGGACTAGGACCTGCTCCTTGTGACACCCAACCCTTCTGGTGACTCCTAGGCCTGATCCCTGGGCCTCAGACTCATCTGCTCTCCTGGCCTGCAGGAGCCTTGAAGAGACTTGGGGACAGCAAATGGAATCCACGAGGCTGCCTTTCTCCAAGCTGAGTCTCCCCAGCTTCTCCTAGGATGAAGTTTTCAACTTTCTCCCCACCCTAGCCACCCCTTCTGGACCCACTCCAGGCTGCTCCTGCCCATCTCCCCGAGCAGGGCCTGGAGCTGAACACAAAGCGGGATCATAATTCTGAACAGAAGAGCTATCCATTCCCCGAGGGCATATGCAACTTCCTGGGCACTTCCTCATTAACACCTTTGGTCACACAAAGCTTGTGGCCCACTAAGATCTCCAGCTCCATGTCCACACATGGCTGACACAGCCAGGTCTCCCCAGCCTGACTTCCTCCTTCGCTTTAAAGCAGAATTAACGATAGTCACTCCAGTTTCAAGGGTTGCTCATCTTATTTCTGATGTGGACAATAGTTCTGCAGCCTCCCAACTGAGCATGTCTGAGAACGTAAAGTCTGTGCCTTTTGTGGCTCCTTCAAAGCCTTCGTGCCTCATTGAAGACACAAGGCTGAGGACAGAGCCCTGTGGCCCAGTTTATATAGACCTCAGTCAGGCTCAGACAAACACATACAAGCACGCCCACACAAACACCTTCATACAACAAGTATTTACTGAGTATCTGCTCTATTTATGCCTTGGGCTAGAGGCTGGAGGTGAGCAAAAAACAGGATCAGAGCTCCCATTTTTGTGGACCTTATGGTCTACTGGGGCAGTAGACTGAAATCAACCACCCTCCCCTTCTCTGTGCTATACAGATACAGACAAAAATGTGTGCACAGTGTCCACACACACATGACCCTCAGGCTACAGTACCCCCCACTCCCCACCCTGCACCATGTGGGGTTATTTAAGGGTTATTTGGGAAATCACACAACAGGGTCTCAGTCCTCAGAACACCTGCCAGGAGGCCTTTGTATGTGTCCATGGTCTGGTCTGCCTATAGCTGGCCTCACTTTCTCTCTACTTGTCCCTCTGTCCACAGCCCAGGAAACTGCTCAGAAGATGCCCACCACTGCTCTGGCTGGTAGAACCCACCACTAGAACACCACGCCAATAGCCTGCCTTGAAGTCCAGCCCAGGGGCCCAGCCATGAGCTCTACAGAGGCAAGCAAAAGTCTTCACCCCAAACTGTATTTCTGAGTCCTAAACAGTACCTAGGACCTCCCATCTCCTGCTCCAACAGCCATTTCCTCCCAGTCAGTCCCGCTCTGGTCTGCCTGGGATTAGTACATATCCCCCAATACCCCAACACACACACACACACACACACACACACACACACACACACACACACTCTCTCTCTCTCTCTCTCTCTCTCTCTCTCTCTCAGACAGACACACACACACCTAAAAATATTCATTCTTCTAATGCCAGACATTAGAAGACATTCTTCTTAGTGCCAAACATAGCTCTAGACTTTAGGGATACAGCGAGCAATGAGGCAGGCACAGGCCCTGTCTCCCTTGGACCTGCAGTGTATTCAAGAAGGCACACATCTCTTGGTAGTTCCGCAGACAACCCTAAGGGCTGGGGCGAAACAGGTGAGGGACTTTTAGTGTGGGGTAAGTGGAGAACTAATTCAGAAGAGTGGTGTTGGGGAAGGCCTCCTTGAAGAACAGATGCTTAAGCAAAGGCCTCAAGATGAGAGGGCATAGACCAGGGAGAACAGCATGTGCAAAGGCCCTGAGGTTGCAAGGCATTTGGTTCCATGGAGGACTGAAGGGTTGGCCAGTGTGTCTGGAGCTCAGAGAATGAGGGTTGCAGGGAGGGGAGACCAGGAAGGTATGTAGGGCCAAGCCACCATGGCTTGGCCTCCTTGGGAGGACGAAGACTAAGGTCTTTACACTTAGAGCAGAGAGAGCCACCGCAGGCTTGCAGCAAAGCGGGCAAAGTGATGTGACTTGGGTTTGGCAGGTTGGCTGCCTGACAAGTCACCAAGAGGGCTGGGAGTGAGACACGGAGCTGGAGGCATATCCCCCGTCAGAGAGCCGATGGCAGGCACAGAGGCACAGGGCTGGGTTGAGATGGACAGATGCCAACCCCAACAACACAGACAAGAGATCACAACAGATCACCCACACATGCACTGCCTCCCACTAGCGCAGCCTGGGCAGAACGGGCGCCCGCGGGCCTTAGCATACACACTCTCCTGCATGGGGGCTGCCCCCCTCAGCGGCCCATCAGGTCCCCGCACCCCACACATCGGGGCCAGTTGTTTCCATGAACTCACTTGGCACGTTTATTAACCACCAGCCACACGTGGGCGGCACGCGGGTGCTCACTTGTTGTCCACCCTCTTGAGCTGCTCCTCTGGGGGGCGGCCGGGTGCTCACTTGTTGTCCACCCGCTTGAGCTGCTCCTTGCCGTTGATGGTCAATGACTTGAGCTGCCCATCCTCCTCCACCTCCACGCGCTCCTGCCCGTTCTCCACGATGCGCTTGGTTGTGACCTTGTGCCCGTTGACCATCTCGGTGGACGACATCACTGACTTGAAGCCGGAGCTGCCGGCGCCCGAGCCGCCGAAGGACGTGGACGAGAAGGTGGCGCGGTTGGCCCCGCCACCCCCGGCCCGGCCCAGGGTGTCGAAGGACGAGAGGGCTTCCATGAAGGCCGGGAACTCGCCGAAGCCCGCCGAGAAGGCCCCCCTCAGGCCGTGGCCCCGGCCCGCACGGTCACTGTTGAAAGGGACGTCCCAGAAGTCAAATGAGAAGGGGTCTAGGCCTCCAAAAAACTCGCGGAAAATGTCCTCGGGGTTCCGGAAGGTGTAGCCTGTGTCGAAGGGGCTGCTGTAGTGGGTGCTGGCCCCGCCACCGGCCCGCCAGCTGTCGCAGCCTGCGCGGTCGTACACGGAGCGCTTCTTGGAGTCGGACAGGACCTCATAAGCCTCAGACACCTGCTTGAACTTCTTCTCGGCCTCCTCCTTGTTGTCGGGGTTCTTGTCGGGGTGCCAGCGCAAGGCCAGCTTGCGGTAGGCCTTCTTGATGTCCTCCGGGGAGGCACTCGCCTGCACCCCCAGCACTTCGTAGTAGTTGGCCATGCCGAGGGGAGGGCGGGGGCAGGGGTGAGGTGGGCGCAGGGGCCCGTGGACTCGGAGGCGGCAGCAGCTGGTGTGGGTCCCTCAGCGGGGGCCTTGCTGGAATCTGCTGGCTCCGGGCGCGGCTCTGCCCGGCGACTTTACCTTTTCATAGTACCAGCTCTCAGGGACGGGTGGGCGCCTCCACTGAGAGGGGTGGGGGGAGGGGGACACTGCCACAGTGGGGCCAGGCCAGGGGCAGACACCCCCTGCAGAGCGGAGGCTGGGCCCTTTGTGACATCAGCCCCATGGGCGGGACAAATCCCACCCCCAGCTCTGCACCAGCAACCCCCTCCAGCCCTGGGGCACACTGGCCTGCCCCTGCCCACAAGGGCAAGGTTGAGGTCAGCACTTTGGCTGGCTGAGAATTTGGAGCTCAGTCATGCTGGGCCTGTGGGCTGAGCTCCCTGAAGCCACGGAGCAGAGACAGGGCCAGCCGCAGGATCTGGCCAAGGTGGGCAATGCAGGTTGGAGACCGTGGTCAGGGGAGGGGAGGGAGGGCTTCTTGGGATAGGTCCACTTAGCCCACTGGCCGGGTTCTTGGGATGGAGGGGGAGCCCCAAGTGGGAAATCAGGCAGGGAGGCGGGAGAAGGGGTTCATTCTGGTTCATTCTTCTTGTACCCCTTCATCAGGTCAGATCCTCAGAGGTAAGCCCCACAAAGGCAGGCATGTTCATCGGTGTCTAAGACCTTACCTGGAAATCAGTAAACGTTTGTTGAATGAACGAGGCTCAGAGACACATAGGATGTACTCAAGGTCACGCAGCACATCTGTGACAGAGAGTGAGAGAGGCAAACCCAGCACTGTCTGAAGATAAAAGGAAGCATTCCACTCAGGTCTGGTAAGAAAAATCCAGATAATAAGTGTGACTAGTGGGGCGCCTGGGTGGCTCAGTGGGTTGAAGTCTCTGCCTTCGGCTCAGGTCATGATCCCAGGGTCCTGGGATCGAGCCCCGCATCGGGCTCTCTGCTCTGTGGGGAGCCTGCTTCCTCCTCTCTCTCTGTCTGCCTCTCTGCCTACTTGTGATCTCGGTCTGGCAAATAAATAAATAAAATCTTTGAAAAAAAAATAAGTGTGACTAGTGAGCATAGTGGGATGAGTGGTGGCCCCCCAAAAGCTAGGTCACTGTCCTAAGCACTGGAACCTGCGAATGTGATCTCCTTTGGAAAGGGGGTCTTGTAGATGTAATTAAATTAGAGATATTGAGACGAGAGCATCCTGGATTTTGTCGGTATGTCCCCAACCCAATGGCAAGCGTCCTTATGGAGCCACACAGAAGAAGAGGGGGATGGCAAGGCAGCACAGGGAGAGCCTGCAGTTACCAGAAGCCGGAAGGAGGAAGTGCAGCCCTGCCAATACCTTGATCTTGGACTTCTGACCTCCAGAATGGTGAGAGGTTGCCTTTCTGTTGTTGTAAGTCACCCAGTTTGTGATAATTTGCCATGGCAGCCCTGGAAAGCTAGTAAGGTGAGCGAGTTAGGGACCAGATGTTCCTAAGTATTTACGTTTCTTTAATTCTTGCCCCAATGTTAGATCATATTTAGAAATAGTAATTAACGGGGCGCCTGGGTGGCTCAGTGGGTTAAGCCACTGCCTTCAGCTCAGGTCATGATCTCAGGGTCCTGGGATCGAGCCCCGCATCGGGCTCTCTACTCAGCGGGGAGCCTGCCTCCTCCTCTCTCTCTGCCTGCCTCTCTGCCTACTTGTGATCTCTGTCTGTCAAATAAATAAATCTTTAAAAAAAAAAAGGAAATAGTAATTAACAGTACCAATTGAGAGCTAGTCCCCACTTCCCCTCACTGCACTCCTGTTAAGATGGAACACATGCTAAACCGTCTAGGGACCGCACCAGTGAGGAGCAGAGCTATTGGGATCACTAACTCTTACCTAAGAGAGTGTTCTGTTCCTCTTCCTTCTCTCCCCCTTCCCTCTCTTCCCTTTCCTTCTCTTCCTCCCTCCCTTCCTTCTCTTCTTCCTTTCTATAGTCCTTATCCCTCTCTGTATTCTCTCTCTCTCTCTCTCTCTACTCCTTCCATACTCATCAGTGCTGGGTTCCCAGAACCTAGCAGGGACAGCAGGTTCTAGCCAGTCCCAAATGCTGGGAGGAATGAAAGCAGAACCTGGAGACACTTTACAAACCTGACTTAGAGTGACAGATGCAGTCACCCCCCAACCCACCTCACCGGGAGCACGACCCATCCGCCGTGCCCCCATCCATCCACCCCCAGGGGCTAACACCTGCCACACATCGCTTGGCAGAGGAAATGATCAGCAAGGAGCAAGTCCACTGGGGATACAGATGAAAGTGTTCCTGTGTTTTTGTGACTACATTTCCGTCACTATCGTTAGAGACACTCTCGACAGGCTTGTCCACTGGAGCGCGGGAAGTCTGCCTCCCCACACAATTCTCCACGATGACTGTGGGGATGGTACGGTGGTGAACCAAGCATCACTAAGACGAAAGAGGTGATTAGGTTAGCGGTGTTGACATGGAGCCGGTGGTGAGAGGGAGAACAGCCATGGTGCTGATGGTGGAATTGATGATGGGAGAAGGAGGTGCTGGTAGTGGCAGCAGTAGTCATGCCTGGGGTGGGAGAGTTAACACGTGGAGGTGACGGTGGAGGGGAAGGTAGCTGGAGACCCGTGGTGGTCGAGGTGGTGTTGATAGTGATGGTGGTGATGGTGGAAGTGTGACAAGGAGGTGATGAAAGGGTTGCTAGGGGCACTATCGGGGAGGTTGGCCATGGTGACTGTGGTGCTAGAAGTGGTGACATTGGTGGCAGTGGTAAGGACGAAGGCAGTGGGGTAGTGTAAGCTGCGTGTCATACGGCTTTGCTTCAGTAATGACCCCCACATCTCGGAGCCTCATGACGGACATTTCGCCCTTGCCTACTTCGCCTGGGCTCCAACTCACATGTCTTCTCCTTCTGGATCCCAGATGAGGGCATGCTCCAGTCTGGAACATACCATTCTCATGGCAGGGAGGGTGGGAGTGGGAGCTGGAAGACACACGGAGTGTCACTGAAAACTTCTCCCAGGATGTGATGTGTGTCACCCATGCTCGCACCATATGGCCCAGGCCAGCACCAGTGGAGTGGATAGGGAATGGTACTCTGTTCAGGAAGGTTCTGCAAGTCTCCAGCAATAGCTCAAGAGGAACGATCTGCTGAGGAAGGGGGCAATCCTGAGGTGTGCTGCTGGTGATCGTGGGGCTGATGGAGCTGGTGGGATTGGTGGCCCGGGTGCCACCGGCGATGGCAGCGCTGGTGCTGATGGCCATGCCATGTGGCTGAGGGGATCTGTGACAGCCATGGAGGGAGTCACGACAGCGGGAGTCACGGCGTGCTCTAGCAACAGTGCTGACACCGATGGCAAGGACATGGCAGACATGGCATCTACCTCCCTCCTTTGAAGGTCTCCTCCAAGCCTAGAGAGTTAGGGAAGATTCTCCAGAATCCCCTTACCTATGTGGGTCCCAGGGGTAGTCTGCCAACGCACATGATTCGGAAAGTGAAAGAGAAAGAAGCTGAAGGCAGGTGACGACTGGAGGTTTGCAGCAACTTCCAGGCCATCCTCTGAGACACCCCAGCATCAGAGCTGCAGGCTGAGCTACTCCAGGGAGCTTCCTGGAGTAGCGTGAGATTCCAGCAGCTTCCAGGCCAGGTCTTGAAATCCACTCGCACTAGAGCAATGATGACTTGTGTCCCTGATCTTTACACCCCCGGGTCGTCCCATGGTTGCAAAAACTTCTATTAAATAGTCTTCATACTTGTTACAGTCAGCAACTGTGCGATGTGGTCACGGTGACAGCGGCTCCGAGGGAGGTGGTGGTGGTGGTGGCGCGGGCAGTTTCGTGGTAATGGTGACAGTACAGACAGTGGTGATGGTGTGATGGCAGAGGTGACAGAGGGGATGATGATGGTAGTAATGAGAAAGGAGGTGGTCAGGGTGGAAACGGTGGCGTTGCGGGTGATGGGGACAATGGGAACGGTCGTCATGGTAACAGTGGCATTGGTGGAGGTGAAGGTGGGGCAGATGATAGTGATGGCCGTGATGCTGGTGACGGTCTTGGTGGTGATGAGAGCCATACTGGTGGTCAAGACAATGCAAATACTAGTTGAGGTGGAGGAGGGCAGTTATGGTGACTGATGGTGGAGGTGGGGTCAGAGGTGACATGGTGGCCATGGTAACAGTGATGGTGATGATGCTGATCATGGCGACAGCAGCAATGGGCATCGTGGAGGTCACGGGACGGTGATCCTGGTCTAGGTGATGGAGGTGGTGTCAAGCGGGATATGGCAGCGATGGCGGTGGCAGTGATAGTGGTGGCAGTGGCATGCAATTGTGAGGTAGTGTGGTTGGTGATGATACTGGTTGAGGCGGAGTGGTCGTCATGGTGCTGATGGTGACAGTGATGATGGGGATGAGGGGAGTAGTTCTGGTGATGACAGTGAAGGGAGGGTGGCTGGTATGTTGCTGGTGATGGGGCAATGTGACATTGGTCAGGGGAGGAGGTTGGCAACAATGACATCACCACAAGTGAAGCCTGAGGGTCCCCTAACAAGGTAGTTGGAGCAGAGTGTGGGTGGTTACATCAAGTTAAGAGACAAGGGACCCTGGGGCGCCTGGATGGCTCAGTGGGTTAAAGCCTCTGCCTTCAGCTCAGGGCATGATCCCGGAGTCCTGGGATCGAGCCCCACATCGGGCTCTCTGCTCAGCAGAGAGCCTGCTTCCCTTCCTCTCTCTCTGCCTGCCTCTCTGCCTACTTGTGATCTCTCTCTCTGTCAAAAAAAAAAAAAAAAAAAAAAGAAAAGAAAAATATATATATATATAAAGAGAGAGAGAGACAAGGGACCCAGGATGACGAGATGCCCTGAAGCCCCACAGAGACTTCCCCTCAACCCAGGCTCCGTTTGCCCTGCCTTGCCTGAGAATTGTGCTTTTGCCCACACTTTCTAGGGAG